AGACATAGTGAAAATAATTCCTTGGGTGCTGAGGTAAAGCAAGATGCTTCCTGGAGAGCCTGTGCTCCAAATCTTAACTGATAGTCAGAAACTCAGAGATAACGTGGAATTGTTTGAAGGCGTAGTGAGAGTAAAATTAGTCTTTTTCTTTTCTGAAAATAGAGGGATAAATGGTGAATTACTACATATATATAATCACTTTAAAATGAAATCTAAAAATACGCTTGTGTATTGCACTGCTTGACAGTGGTATATCAGCAAGACTAATGGTACAGCTAACCACACAAAATAATACATATGCAGATATATTTTTTCCACGTAATGAAGAAATCTCCCCAAAGTTTAGATTAAGAGTTTTTGTTCTAAGCAGACCTGTGAAATTGTAGTGATTATCCATTTATGGACGATTCTACTCAAGTTCAGAGAAATTCAGCAAGTTAACCAAAGTCCACCGTCTGCCATTGGTGGGTGTCAAGACATATTCAGGTCTGCTTGATTTCAGATGTCATAGTCTTTCTGTTCCAGTACAATACTCTGGGATTTGGGGTATTTAGAGAAGACTTCCCTCAAGAATGAAAGCTGCCTTTTTCCTTTTCTTTCTTGCTCTATGGTCAACCTAATGTCTTATAATGAGAGTTACCCAGAGAATCATTCTAAGATCTTGGTGTTTCTGAGAACTCAGTCTTTTTCTTCCTTTTTTATTGTCTAAGAAATTCTTCTTTTTTTTCTTCTTCCTACATTATTTTTTATTTTCCAAGTTTTCTTATTATGTTCAGTTAGCCAACATATAGTACATCATTAGTTTTTGATGTAGTCTAGTTCAATTCATTAGTTGTATATAACACCCAGTGCTCATCCCAATATGTGCCCTCCTTAATACTTAATCTTTAAACCACATTTAGAAATTGCACCTGACATTTATTAGGAGCTCAGTAAATATTTGTGAAGTGCACATAGTTCATTGGCTTATAGAGGATGCAATGTGATTTTTACATTTTTCTTTATTGGGTGGTATGAGAACAAAAACAGTACTTTTCATTTCAGCTTATCTCCCCCTTTTCCTCATAGAGCCCTAGGGCCTGAGTACTAAAGTACTTTTACTGAGCTCCAATATTTTGATAATTCAAAACCACACTTCTGTGAGAGTTAGGTCTGTGGGGGCCTTTGGGATTCAGCCTGCCAGCATTTCAATATTGTGGAAAGTGAATGTTGAATATTTATTTAACACTAATGACCCCCTACTCAGGACTTCCTTTGTCAGATATAGTTTTTATTGTTCTCTGTCATTTCTGTAACCTACAGCCATGTCAGTGATATTGAATATAAGAAGTCTTTTAATGTAGTTTACTGCTCCTCACCCTCTTTATCAGAATTCTAATTGATACTCTGTACTCTTTGCCTGTGCATACCACCTATTATAGAGTTATTTCTAATAGACTACATGACTCATCAAATTTACTTTTGATTTCATCAACTCTGTAATTTGTTTTGTACAATTGTATACATATAAAACAACTTTGTATTTATTATTTTGCATTCAGAATAATAGTATAAATGAAATTCATAGCAATTCAACATTGATGAATTATTAACTATTATGACAACTATATACATAGGGGGGAAATGAAGTAAAGTATGTGTGTATGTGTGTGTGTGTGTTTAAAAATAATTATACCAACAAATCACAAATCACATTTAAAATTTATTTTTTAGTCTCATTACAAGGAGTGAAAAGAACATTTTCATGAAACCAGGACCTTTATTTTCTCTCCTTTTGGTTCCTGCTATTTATTTTATTTTATTTTTTTACCTGTAAATAACCTTCAGTTCATGGTATCAAAATCTCCTCCAAAGTAACTAAGTTAATTGTGAAATTATGAGTAAAACATTGTTTTTAGAGGTAGGAAATAATGATCCAAATTGAATTAAGTACCAATAATAAATACCAAAATTCTAATATTATAATCATGTAAATATGACATGGAGAAAAAGAGAGCAAATTTAAATTATCACATCTATAAAATTTACTTTTGAGCTGTTCATTGAAGGCTTGCTGATGTGAATAGCCACAGATTAAGTCTGATTTTCAAGGGTAGATAACAGATGTTGATTTGGCTGCTTGGTATCCATTCGTCCATCTTCTACTAATTGTATCCCATTTCTCCTCTGAGCTTCCCACTATCCCCAGCTTTATTTCCAAGGGCTTCTACGGGGTTAGCTCCATTCCTTGGTCATGCATGGATTGATTGCATGGCCTGGGCCATTAACCAGCATCTGGCATTCCCTGGGCAACTGTAATTGAATCAGGAGCTTCCCTCAGCCTATTCAGAACCATTCAGAACCAACAATGCCATGAAACCTTTCTGGAAATCCTGGAAGAGGGTATTTCATTCTTTCCTCCTGGACTTGTAGTTGAGAAGAGAAGATCTGAATTTGATGCAGTAGTCATCATAGAAACATGAAAGAGGAGCTGTCTGAGAACAAAGCAAGAGCACAGAAGAGAGCAGAGCTGGGTCAGAAGAGTGTCTGTGTAACATCAGGATGTATCTGAAGTAAGTGCTACACTTTGTGCTTTCCATTCACAAGAGCCAATAAATTCCCTTTTGGCATAAGATCATTTGATTTGGACTTTCTGTCATCTACGACTGAGATCCAGTATCCTCTGGTAATATGAAGAGAGCATAGAGGGGATGATAATTCTTAAAGTTTCTCACTGTAACTACGAGACTGGATTCTCATCAGAGATTGGTAGTAACTTTCCAGCATACCAGCAAATCCTGGACCTGCAACAATGCAGACATTATTGAAGAAATGAGAAATTTCTGTCATGTGTGAAGGCACATCTGCTATAAAGGAAGTAGCCGACCACAAACTGCCTTTATTCTCCACGTTGCCTTGAGCACAAATTTAGCTAAAGGCATTATTGATTTGAGTCTAGGTAGACTACGTAATACGTTGGTTTTTTTTATTTTCTATAATTTAATCAGTTGTGTTGGTGATTAATGGGAAAAGACTTCACCAAAATGCTAAAAGTTATGGTAGGAACTCTATTATAAGAGAACAAAAAGAGAACTCTAACATAATGTTAATAATAATAATAATAATAATGTTTGATGAGTGTAAGCAAACTCATGGATTATTTTAGGGGCTCTGTGCCAAGGGGGAACATATTATGGAAGTGGCTGATCATATTCTGGGTCTTCTTTGAACCTCACAATGGATATTAGAAATGAAGGAACTAGTAAACTAGAGAAAAAAATGGGGACTTCTGATTTCTAGTCTGGCATTTAAGGAGCTTTGAAGTCACCACTTTGTCCTAACAAGTAAAAAAGGTGAATAAACTGAAAAATCAATAGCTCTTCTTAGATTTGCTAAAGAAGTGAAGTCACAGGGCAAACTTTTGCCCCCAACACTGGAGAGACAGGCAGACAAATACAGAGAATCCCAGTTTACTAGAGCAGAAACTCATGAGCAGAAATCATGGAACCAGTGGTCAGGTTGGAAAACCTGACCTATTGAATGGCTGGAGGTTCAGTGTGAGAGTTAAGAATTCAGGAGGGGAGGGCAGTCATAAGGGGTACATGAGTTATACCTCAAGGAATTTGACCCCGTTCTCTTAGTGAAAGTCAGAGAGAGTATCTTTTCATGGCCTAGGAAGGGAAAAGTAACCATTTTGAAATAAACCAGAGTAGTCCTTTCTTCTTAACAAGACTTGCCCTCAAGAAAAACTATTTTACCAGAGTCTAACCAACCCCAGGGGAAAGGAAATACTCAACTGTAGTCTGTTTGAATTGTCCTGTACACTTAAGGAGGGAGAAAAATGGAGAAGCACTTAAGCAGTTCACAGTCCAGAGAACGCAAGCTAAATAAAAGTCAGAGGCCTAATCATAGGAGTATAGAAGGCTTCTACTCCCCCTCCTCCATGCTTTACTATGACATTACTAAAGGCCTATTTACTGCAATTCCTTTTTGCCAGTACATTATGTCCAGGTACTGAGATATACTAAATTTATAAGACATACTAAAAGGCAAACAACAACAACAGTTTGTAGAGATGAAGCAAGCATCAGAACCAGACTCAGGGCAGGGATGTTGGAATTATCACATTGGGAATTAAAACTAGCTATGATTAATATACTAAGGGCTAAAACAGGTAAAGTAGATACCACATAAGAACAGATGGGCAATGTACACAGAGAGATAGAAATTCTTTTTTTTTCTAATTTTTATTTAGAGAGAAATTCTATGGAAGAATGAAAAAGAAATGCTAGAGATAAAAAAACACTGCAATAGAAATGAAGACTTTTTAAAATGAGCTCATTAATAGACTGGACATGACTAAGGAAAGAATCTGAGCTACAGGATGTGACAGGAGAAACTTCCAAAACTGAAAGCAAAAAGAAAAATATATTTTTAAAAAGAACAATATTTGGGGGGGGGAGGAGCAAGATGGTGGAGGAGTAGCAGACCTAAATTTTGTCTGGTCCCAGGAATTCAGCTTGATAGGGATCAAACTATTCTGAACACCTATGAACTCAATAGGAGATCGAAGAAAAGAATAGCAGCAACTCTCTGAACAGAAAAGTGACCACTTTCTGGAAGGCAGGACGTGCGGAGAAGTGAATCTGAGGCGATATTTAGGAAAATAGACGGCGGGGGAGGGGGCCTCTGTCAGCCGGCTACTCGCAAGTGATAGAGCCACGGAGCACAAATCGGAACTTTTAGAAGACGGCTCTGCTGAGGGAGGTCGCTCCAGTGGCTAAGCGGGGGGTGGAACCCTCGCCGGGACACTGTGGTCTCAGGACCCTTGGGGTCACAGAAAGACCGGGGGTGCCTGAGTGCGGCAGAGCTCCCAGGTATCCGAGTGGGGAAGCCGGCTGCAGAGATGGAGCCGAGGAGTGGGCTCTCAGCTCGGGGTTGCCATAAACCATGATCTGTGGCAGTCGGGCCACTACTCTTCCAGCAGGGACCCAACAAGTGGCAGATCCAGGGAGACTCACCTTCCTCCCCCGGGGGGAGCAGTGCAGGAGTGCACTGCAGGGATCTGCTGGGTTTGGAGACTCCACACAGGGTCGGGTGCCAGAGATAGAAACACTCAGTCACAGGCTGGGTGAACACGGAGTGCAGCCGGAGACCGGGTAGATGGGAGTGATTGACTGCTTTTCTCTGGGGGCTCACTGAGGAGTGCGGCCCTGAGTTCTTGGCTCCTCCGGGGTGGAGATTGGGAGGCTGCCATTTCACTCTCGTCCTCCAAAGCTGTAGGGAAAGCCTGCAGGGAAAAAAAGCTCCCGAGTGCAAACCCGAGCAGATTACTTAGCCGGGAGGGGGCAAGGGTGGGGCACTTCTGCCTCTGGCAAAGACATTTGGGAACCACGGCAACAGGCCCCTCCCCCAGAAGATCAGCAAGAACGGCCAGCCAAGACCAAGTTTACCGATCCATGAGAACTGCAGATTCCAGCGCTAGGGGAATACTGCACATAGAATTCATGGCTTCCCCCCCCTCCAATTCTTTAGTCTTTCAAAGTTAATTTTTTTAATTTTTTTTCTTTTTCTTTTTGTTTTTTGAATTTTTCTTTTTCCCTTTTTCAAACAACATCTTATCAATCCCTTTTTTAAAAAATCTTTTTTATTTTTCATTTTTAGAGTCATAATCTCTCCCTTCATAGTAGTTAACCTTATTTTTGGTATATATGTATAAGTTGTTCTCTCTTTAAAATTATGGGATACAGTTTCTTCTAACAGACCTAAATATACCCTAAATCTCTAGTGTATAGTTTTGTTCTAGGCTCCTGCCTGATCACATTCTCTTCCTTTTTTTTTTTTAATCCTCTTCTTTCTTTTTTCAACCAACTTCTTATCTTATCAATTCCTTTTATAAAATCTTTTATAATTTTCACCTTTACAGTCATATTCCATCCCTTCATCGTATTTACCCTTATTTTTGTGCATACATAAGTTTTTCTTTCTTTAAAATTTTGGGAGGCACTTTCTTCTAACAGACCAAAATACGCCCAAAATCTAGTGTGTGGCACTGATCTATGCACCAACCTGATCATATTCGATCATATTCTGTTTTTTTTTTTTTTTTATCTTTATCTTTTCCTTTTTTCTTTTTTTTTTTTCTTTTTTCTTTCTTTCCCTTTCTTTCCCCCCGGTTTCAGGTCTCTTCTGATTTGTTTAGTGTATATTTTTCTGGGGTCATTGTTACCCTGTTAGCATTTTGTTCTCTCATTCATCTATTCTCCTCTGGACAAAATGACAAGATGGAAAAAATCACCTCAATAAAAAGAACAAGAGGCAGTACCGACTGCCAGGGACCTAATCAATATGGATATTAGTAAGATGTCAGAACTAGAGTTCAAACTGACAATTTTAAAGATACTAGCTGGGCTTGAAAAAAGCATGGAAGGTATTAGAAAAACCCTTTCTGGAGAAATAAAAGAATTAAAATCTAATCAAGTCAAAATCAAAAAGGCTATTAATGAGGTGCAATAAAAAATAGAGGCTCTAACTGCTAGGATAAATGAGGCAGAAGAGAGAATTCGTGATCTAGAAGACCAAATGATGGAAAATAAGCTGAGAAAAAGAGAGTTAAACAACTACTGGATCACGAAGGCAGAATTCGAGAGATAAGTAATACCATAAGACGAAACAATATTAGAATAATTGGATTCCCAGAAGAAGAAGAAAGAGAGAGAGGGGCAGAAGGTATATTGGAGCAAATTACAGCAGAGAACTTCCCTAATTTGGGGAAGGAAACAGGCATCAAAGTCCAGGAGGCACAGAGAACCCCCCTCAAAATCAATAAAAATAGGTCAACACCCCAACATCTAATAGTAAAACTTACGAGTCTCAGAGACAAAGAGAAAATCCTGAAAGCAGCTAGGGGCAAGAGATCTGTAACCTACAATGGTAGAAACATTAGATTGGCAACAGACCTATCCACAGAGACCTGGCAGGCCAGAAAGGACTGGCATGATATATTCAGAGCACTAAATGAGAAAAATATGCAGCCAAGAATACTATATCCAGCTAGGCTGTCATTGAAAATAGAAGGAGAGAGAAAAAGCTTCCAGGACAAACAAAAACTAAAGGAATTTGCAAACACCAAACCAGCCCTACAAGAAATCTTGAAAGGAGTCCTCTAAGCAAAGAGAGAGCCTAAAAGCAACATAGACCAGAAAGGAACACAGACAATATACAGTAACAGTCACTTTACAGGCAGTACAATGGCACTAAATTCATATCTTTCAATAGTTACCCTGAATGTAAATGGACTAAATGCCTCAATCAAAAGACACAGGGTATCAGATTGGATAAAAAAACAAGACCCATCAATATGCTGTCTGCAAGAGACTCATTTTAGACCCAAAGACACCTCCAGATTGAAAGTGAGAGGGTGGAAAACCATTTACAATGCTAATGGACATCAAAAGAAAGCTGGGGTGGCAATCCTTATATCAGACAAATTAGATTTTATCAAACTCAACACCCAAAGGACAAATGATCCAATCAAGAAATGGGCAGAAGACATGAGCAGACATTTTTCCAAAGAAGACACCCAAATGGCCAACAGACACATGAAAAAGTGCCCAACATCACTCGGCATCAGGGAAATCAAAACCTCAATGAGATACCACCTCACACCAGTCAGAATGGCTAAAATTAACAAGTCAGGAAACGACAGATGTTGGCAGGGATGCGGAGAAAGGGGAACCCTCCTCCACTGTTGGTGGGAGTGCAAGCTGGTGCAGCCACTCTGGAAAACAGTATGGAGGTTCCTCAAAAAGTTGAAAATAGAGCTACCATATGATCCAGCAATTGCACTACTGGGTATTTACTCCAAAGATACAAATGTAGGGATCTGAAGGGATACGTGCACCCCAATGTTTATAGCAGCAATGTCCACAATAGCCAAACTATGGAAAAAGCCTAGATGTCCATCAACAGATGAATGGATAAAGAAGATGTAGTATATATATATACAATGGAATATTCAGCCATCAAAAGGAATGAAATCCTTCCATTTGCAACAACGTGGGTGGAACTGGAGGGTATTATGCTGAGCGAAATAAGTCAATCAGAGAAAGACATGTGTTGTATGATCTCACTGATATGAGGAATTCTTAATCTCAGGATACAAATTGAGGGTTGCTGGAGTGGTGGGGGAGGGAGCGATGGGGTGGCTGGGTCATAGACTTTGGGGAAGGCATGTGCTATGGTGAGCACTGTGAATTGTGTAAGACTGTTGAATCACAGACCTGTACCTCTGAAACAAATAATACATTATATGTCAAAAAAAAAAAAAAAAAGATAGCAGGAAGGGAAAAGTGAAGGCGGGCAATCGGAGGGGGAGACGAACCATGAGAGACTATGGACTTTGAGAGACAAACTGAGGGTTCTAGAGGGGACGGGGGTGGGGGGATTGGTTAGCCTGGTAATGGGCATTAAAGAGCACATGTACTGAATGGAGCACTGGATGTTATATGCAAACAATGAATCATGGAACACTACATCAAAAACTAATGATGTAATGTATGGTGATTAACATAACATAATAAAATTAAAAAAAATAAAAAAGAGGGCGCCTGGGTGGCTCAGTTGGTTAAGCGACTGCCTCCAGCTCAGGTCATGATCCTGGAGTCCCTGGATCGAGTCCCCCATCGGGCTCCCTGCTCGGCGGGGAGTCTGCTTCTCCCTCCGACCCTCCCTCCTTTCATGCTCTCTCTCATTCTCTCTCTCTCTCAAATAAATAAATAAAATCTTAAAAAAAATAAAAAGTAAAAAATAAAAAAGAACAATATTTAAGAATTGCAGTGTAACTACAAAAGATATAGCATGCACATAATTAGAATATCAGAAGGAAAAGAAAAGAGGAACAAAAGCAGTATTTAAAGTAATAATGACAGGGGCGCCTGGGTGGCTCAGTCGTTAAGCCTCTGCTTTCAGCTCAGGTCCTGATCCCAGGGTTCTGGGATCGAGCCCCACATTGGTATCCCTGCTCAGCAGGAAGCCTGCTTCTCCCTCTCACACTCCCCCAGCTTGTGTTCCCTCTCTTGCTGTCTCTCTCTGTCAAATAAGTAAATAAAATCTTTAAAAATAATAATAATAATAAAGTAGTAATGACAGAATTTCCTCCAAATTAGTTATACACCAAGCCAGTTATTGAGGAAGCTCAAGGCACAAGGAGGACAAATGTCAAAACACATATTTTTTTCAAACTGCCTAAAATCACAGATAAAGAAACAAATCTTGAAAAAACCAGATGGGGGAAAACATTGTATCTATAAAGATACAAAGGTAAGAATTATATCCAACTTCTTCTCAGAAACTATGTAAGCAAGAAGAGAGCATTGTGAAATACTCAGTATGGATGAAAAAAAAACCGATTAACTAGAATTCTGTGCCCTGCAGAATTATCCCTCAGAAGCACAAGTGACATAAAGATTCTAAGGCAAATAAAAATTGAGGGAATTTTTTGTATTAGCCTTGCTTTGCAAGAAATATTTCTTAGAGAGAAGGCAAGCGATATAGGTCAGAAACTCTGATCTATATAAAGAGAGCAAGAGGCATCAGAGAAGGAATAAATGAAGGTAAAACAAAACTTTTATTTTTATTATTCTTAATTGATCTACCAGATAATTTGTCAAAATAATAACAGCAACAATATATTTGATTATCTACTTATGTGTGTGTATATGTAAGTAAAATGAATTACAGCAATGATACAAGGGATAGTGGGAGGGAAGAATTAGGATCATTTATTATTATGAAGTACTTGCCACTAACCTGTGAAAAGGTATAGTGTTATTTGAAAGTGGACTTGGATTAGGTGTAAATGTGTATTGCAACCTCTAGAGGAACCACTAAAAAAAAAAAGAGAAAATATTGTAACTGATATGCTAGCAAGGAGAGAAAATGGAATCATATAATATGCACAGTTAAAATCACAAAAGGTAGAAAAGAGTAGAAGACAAAAATAGGAACAGAGAACAAGGACAATGAACAGAAAACAGTAACAAATATGATAGATGTTAATCAAACTATCAATAATCACCCTGAACATCAGTAGTCTCAATGCATGCATTAAAAGACAGAGATTGTCAGAGTATCACTTTATACCTGTAGAATGGCTAGACTGAAAAAGATAAAAATAACAAGTGTTGGCAAGGATGTGTGGAGGGGGAAGGAACCCTTGTGCACTGTTGGTGGGAATGCTAATTG